TCTCTTCCATTTGATTCTCCATTATTGGGGGTAATATCCCTATACCCTATATACCCCTTTAAAGGGACCTAGGGTTTCCATTTCATTTTCCATTTTCTTTTCCATTTGATTCTCCATTATAGGGGTATAAATAACCCTAAACAGCTGAGGGATGAGTGGGATCGCTTGGTGGCGCCCGCAGCAGGATCTGCCAATCCGACAGAGCATGTCGATCAACGCCACGCTGGCCTGAGCGGTTTATTGTGATAGGGTTTAGGGTCTGGGTTTAGGGTTTAAGGGCTTAAGGGTTTAAGACTTTAAGGGTTAAGGGTTTAAGAGTTTAAGGGTTTAGGGTTTAACGGTTTAGGTTTTGGGGGCGAGTCTTGCGCAGGTGAGGGTTGGGAGCTTCAGGGCTTGAGGCTCCTGCCGAGATCCTCCAAGTGAAGTTCCCAAAACTAGGGGGCATATATGTGTGTTTGTATATATTATATACATGAAAATACAGAGGTATAATGGGAAAGAAAATAGAAAATACTCTATTATCATAATAGGGCGTATCTTGGTTTGATTCCTTTCTGGTATTGCTGTGCTTTGTCGCCTGGGTTGCTCCGCAGATATTGCACTGGAACGTCTGGGCTAAGGGTGGGTTGGTTGAAGTCTCAGGCTGTCAATGTTCATAGAGGCTTACGAGCAGCTCTGTGGGGCGCTTTTGGGTTTCATACTGTTTTATGATTCATTGGTTGTTAATAGGGAATTAAGGAATGGAAAAGTAGCTGGAATTTGCATGATCAGTGTTTATATTTGGGCTACTAGATGGATCCATTCCCTGGAAAGAAAACAACTGGGATGATGAGGCTTGGGGGTTAGTGAACTGCCATTTCGGTGGCTTCTAATTGTTTTTTGAAAGCATGCTGAGGCCAGTTTAGGCCTAGGGAACATACTGGACGCGGAGACAAAACCTTGAAGTTTTGCACGGGCATTCTTGCATTCAGATTTCTTGATCGTGTACTTCTGGGGTCTACACCTCAGGGATATGCTGGATATGCTTAAGACCTATTGTTGGCCAGGCATGTTCCATGGTTTTTTTTGGGGGGGGTTTTAGAGGGCCCAGACATGCTGGATTCAGTCAGCCTCTTTGGGATGCTACTGTCGATGGACCCAGCCCTACATAACCCTCCCCTAACCATCATTCCTGTAGTGTTAGTAGATGGGGCCAGAATTCCTATAGTTTTAGCAAAGAGGGCCAGAAATCCTATAGTCATGTAGGATGTCGTCCAGAAAGGGTAGGTCTGATCACGTGGCGGTTCGCCAGCGGAGGCTAAAGTTCCTTCAAGGGCTCAAGTGCTCGTGTATGAGACGCAGGTATCCGTATCAATTATTGAAATTAGACAAGTTTTTGTCGCCTGAAACCCTGACATTTACTGTAGGAAGCTGGACGCTTAGGGGCAAACAACATCGGAGGAACCCGCGGGAAGTGGTCGTGCCAGCTGATCTCACTCGATAGTCATTTGTATATATGTATATATAAATGCCTAGGCACTAAACCCTAAAACGCGTCTTATGCAGGCCCGGAGGTAGGAGTGGCTCTCTTTGGGCCCACTTGAGGGGGTTGTGTCATACGAGTTGTGGTGCTTTAAGAGTACCGTTCAAAACATGTATGTAGCTGCACTGTGTCAGTTAGTAAAAATCAGGGTTTTCATTTTGGGGTGCGGTCCCTTCATGGGCCTTATGTCCAAAGTTTTTGACGAGTATCACACCTCATCCTTTAAATTACAGTCAGGAATCCCTACACATCAAAGCTTAGGCCAATACCCAAAGCCAAATTCCTAGATCTAAACCCTAACTCTAAATCCTCAACCCTAAACCCTAAACCCCTGAGCCCAAGCCCTGATTCTGCCTTCATTGCCAGGTACTTACATCCGATGGTTGCAGGAGTCAGAGGATCCTAAGATACGCCAACAAGCGCCAGCCTCTTATCAGAGAATGGGTTTGGGGTTTAAGTTTAGGGTTTTGGAGCATGTGAGAATGCCTCAAACTAGTACGGAGAGGTACGCGTTGCACGTTCTGCAAAAAACCCTGCACGTGTAGCACGATAGCCTGCCGAGGGGCAAAGAGGACATCCGTCACATGAGGTCGCATGTTAAAATGTCCGTCCTCCAGTCAGTGTATTTCGGGGTCTTTAGGAATGTTAGTGTAGAATATGAGGTCGAGTTAAGGAGACACATGAAGACTCCATCTCACTTCAGTACAACGTGAGGCATGTTGTAGAGAAGCTCTCCCACAGCAGGAAGGCAAAACTGCAGGACATACAACTTTCCAGCAACCCCAACTCTCCTTCCCCCCAGTTCCTGCCATGCCTTCATGAATCTGAATCCCTGTGCTGCAGATCCTGATGTCCCATGTTCATGCGCTTGTGGGTTCGCTTCTGACAGTTCCAATGGGCCGCTTTTATCTGAAAAGAGGCTCGCCAGTCCCCTTCATTTTTGTCGTTGGTAGGGACTATTATTTGAAGCCAGAACTCTAAAGAGCCCCAAGCCCTAAACCCTACACAACCCCAGACCCTGAAACCCGGAAAGGAGAGACAGAGACAGAGAGAGAGCCAGTTTGGCTCAAGGCGTTCTCAGCTCAAGCGGATATGCCGCAGGGTATGCTGCCCCAACAAAGCCGGCCTATGAGGTTCTAGGGTTTAGAAGTAGCTTTCGGGTTTAGGCTTACGTGCTTTACGGTTGGAAGTCCTGAGTAGACATAACCCAGTTACAACTGTACTCAGCTCCATCAACAGTGGAGCCCCTGACCCTCAGCTTACCTCGAAGTGGCTGCAGAGGCTGACCGGATGTACCCTGCTATCAGTATCACAGGCACGCGCCCGTGCGAACAGCAGAGCGAGTCCAGGAAGCCGCACGCATAGAGAGGATTGGGTGTACAGCTTATATTGTATCAGGGTTTATGGTTTAGGGTTCCTGTATCTTCAGCAACTCATCCAACTTCCCCCGAAATCCGCAAAGCCACAGCCACACTTTGACCTTTTTGCTTTCAACAAGTGCGGCGGCACAAGTTGAAGGAATTGTAGGGTTGATGCTCTTGCACCATAGCACCGCATGAGAGTTGCCTCAAAGACGCCACGAACATCCAAGTCGACAAGGCGAAGCCCCGAAAAATGGTACAAGCCACTGATGTTGATGGGTAAGCGATTGTGCAACCATCAGCTTTACCGGGTAATTGGAAGCGAATGCAGTGTCAGTCTTTGTGGCGTCTCCGCCCAACAGGTGTGCGGATCATCCCAGGAGGGGCCACTGGCCTTCATCAACATCCGAATTCAAGGATGAACAATTGAAAGAATGAAAGAAAAAGAGGAGAGAGAGAGAGAGAGAGAGAGAGAGAGGGAGAGAGAGAGGGAGAGAGGGAGAGAGAATGTTGGTCAAGGCTTTTGGCTCAGAATGTGATGGGTTCCAACTTTTCATTTGCTCACGGCGTTTTTTTGCTCAGGGCTTTCAAGGCCAACCTCTACACCTAAAACAGCCCTTGGCTAAACGACCCCACACTCAAAACCTTACGCAACCCCAGACTTTGAACCCTAAACCATGCACACCCAATAGCTTGCAGCTCTAAACCCATCAAGCCCCAAAACCTAAAAACCTCCAGCTTTGAACCCTCGACAGCACGAAAAGCCAGAAACCCTAGATTCTAAACCCTGACGCACTACCTATAGAACCTCCAATGTAATTCCTTTTTTGGGTTTGGTATGGTTTTTGGGTCAAACGGATACTGCATTGGAGGGTCTAGGTAAACTCCAAACAACCCCACGCTCTGAACAATCCCGAGGCCCAAGCCCTAGACTCTAAACAACTCTAAACCTTAAAGAGCCCTAAACCTTGAATAAACAGCCCCTAACCCAAAACCCGAGACAGACGCAGACCTTGCAACCTGTTTTGCACGAAATACCAGCAGGCACAGTGTTTTGTGGACGTGGGCAAGCCCTAAACCCTAAACTCAATCCGACGTGACCCACTTTTACTGGGC